CGTGGGGAATCGCTGCTCGGCACGACATGGGCAAGGGGGCTGAGAGGGAGGAGGGGTGCGATGGGATGGGTCTGTTCCTTCTGGCGTTTGCTTGCAGCCTTCCCCATGTACGGCAAAGGCAGCGAGGAATTCCCCACCGACAAGTCACGGTTCTCTCTTGTGGCTCTATCTGGCCGCAGCCTGGAAGTTAAAGGCGCTCCTGAACAAAGTGAAATTACGCGTTGAAAAGTGTCTTTGCATCTGCAGCGTTGTCGTTTTCCCCTGTGTAGGTTTTCACGGAACGCAGTTCTGCAGTGTGGAATGGGGCATAAATACCTTCTCAGCCACACGCCAGCCAAAGTTTTCTTTCTTTCTGTAAGTTTTATCTTCTTTAACGACAGGCAGATATTTCAGCAGAAGTGACTGCTTTACACCGTCTGTAAAGGATTGCTCTTCCCGTGCACCCCAGCAGAGGGCTAAGCAGGAATTTCTCCAAAATGGGCGTTTATTTCCACTTTGGGGGTGATACAAGGTCGAAGAGGAAAAAATCCAGCACATCTGCTCTTGTGTCACTTGTAAAACCTGTTCAGATCGCCAGGAAACGCTGGGGGCACTGGGAAGGTTTGCGGGGAGGTAGCAGGCGGTGGTGTATCAAAGATCCCGCGTTCAGGGGACAGAGACGTGGTGAGATTACGATCTGCTCAGTGCGGGCTGAGACACCGGGGTTTGAGGTCTGGCACCTAGGGCAGTGTGGGAAAGGCCTATTTTTATTCCATTTTTTCTTGGCTCTCCTCTCTTTTCCTTAAGCTTTGCGTGAGGGAACTTTAGCAGACCTGTGTAAAACCCTTGGCGTTATTTATTGCGCACTTGTTTACCACGTACAGTGTGCTTCATTAGCTAATTTTGGCTCTGGACCCCCCACGACGCCCTGGCAGGGGTAAGGTAATAAGACTGGAGTATTAGTGTCAGCCGTGGGTCAGAGATGTCATGATGGTATATCATTAAAATGTGACACTGCCAAAACCTGCCCCGACTCCCCTGTCCTTAGAAAAGAAAACCCTGGATTTTGGGTTGCACGCTACCACTGTGAGCTTGCATTCAGATGAATCGGTCATTTTGAGAGAGCAGCCAGCCGCAGATCCGGACCTCCGCAGTGAAGTGATGGGCTGACTGGCACAAAAGGGGAGTTCTGTAGGAGCAGTGAATAATGGGAAGCCCCTTTCATCGGCACTGCTAACCTTTTGGCAGCCACCAGCACACTCTATTCTGATCTGCTGATTGGGGAGGACAATACACTGGAGCTCGCGCTGAATGAATGCTGCCACCAACAGTGTCCCCATTCAGGGGCTTTTGGGAACCATCTTGGACCATTGTCTGCCGTCACTCCTGCAGACAGTAGGAAAAGGGAAAGTGAGAGCGGCTGTAGGGGGGAAAGTGCTTCTTTTCTTGGCTTTAATCTCTCTTTAAAGCTTGGTAGATCTACATTTCCAGCTGAGCCACTGGAACTATGCAGTGTCCGATAAACACAGGGGAGAGAGGTCTCAAGCTGAGCTTTTAAATCCCCTTATCTGCATGAACTAATAATGCAGATTTAGTGCTGTTAAAAACAGAGCCTGAGAAGGCTTTCCCTTTAAAGCCTTTAAACTGCTAAAGAGCATTTAATGGCAATGCAGTTCAAACCCGGAGAACAATACTGAGAAGGAAAACAGTTTAATGAGCTAAACCCTGGCTGAATGAAGCAGAAACACCTTCTCACAGTTGATTGAGGTCGCTGGGGGAGTGAGGGAAAGCGCAGCCCCCTTCCCGCTGCATCTTCCTACCCAGGGCAGCATCCAGGGCAGAGCCAGCTCAGGAGGCTGAAACACTGCAGAGAAAAGCCTTCGCAAATACAGCTGAAATTAATGGGTTTAACTGTTGAAATCAGGGAAGCTGGTTCCCCAAAATTATTTTACTGGCAAGGTTCTAACACACAGGCGCGAAGCTGTGCGACATCTCTCAATTACTGAGAAGGGGAGGGGGATGTGGGGGGGGAAAACAAAGGGAAAAGTGTCAAGGGAATGATTTAAAGTTGCCGCTGAAAGTTTTCTCCTGAGGGAATCTATTAATAATCATAACAACATGTTTGAGGAGTGGGAAGGTTTAATCTTACAATGGTGTTCTGAAATGATTTAGCTTTAATCATGTTAAAAATGTATTTCCTAGCACGGAGAAGGCTCTTAAAGAGAGGCAGCGGGTGTGTGCGGAGCCAGGCTGCGTTTCCCAGTTAGCCCGTGTCGGTGTTAGGCAGGCTCCTTAAGGACTAAGGGAGCTGGAGTGGCACTGGCGTTAGGCAAATCTTTGCTTGCATATTTACAAATACATCGACCGTGTGTGGGTAGAAAATCGGCGTGTGAGGAGTCGTTGTCAACGCTCGTGTAAGCCCAAGCTGCGTTCCAGCAGTCCGCTGCGTTGTCCCAGATAGACACAGACGCAGTCAGAGCTGACTTTGCTGTATAAATGGCAGGAACAGCACCTGCTTTATATTTTGGGGGGCAAAAAAATTCTTCCAGGCGCATTTTGGAAAGCCCCCGCATACCGCTAGCCCTATTGGCGTAACACATGTGGGTTTGTGTTTTCTGAAGTCGGAGGGTTTGCGGTGTATGTGAGAGTAAGAAAGGAAATGCAGTTTACATTTTAGTTTAGTCTTTCCTGCACCTGCGGTAATTAATGCCAGTGCATATCTCGTATTAATTAGTCATATTGGCATATTAGTCGTGTCCCAGGGACACTTGCTGGGGAAAGGTGCCTACTGGCTTTAATAGCCTGGCGAGGAAGGAGTCGGAGCTGTGGGACAGGGGCCTTTAAAAGTATTAGAAGAGCGTTTGCGAAGGATGGAACGTGAGCTGTTAGCCTGATAGCGCGGCCCTCGGGGCGCCAGCCATTTAAACTTCCTGAAGGTATCGAGAGCATTCAGATCCATAAAATGAATGTGGTTTTTTTTAAGGAAAGTGACAGTGCTCTTCTGTTTCCCCATTGAAATGTTCCCTGGCCTAGTTCAACAGAAACATTTTTACATTACAACTGTGAAATCTTGGCATAAAGCTCCCCTTTGTGCCCTCCATTATTTTCTCACAAATATAGTCCATTGTCACATAGCTGAAGTTAATTTGATCAACATTGGGACATTTAACTTTTATGTCCGGTCAAAGGAGCTGTTTCATGCTCATTTTGGGTATTCAAAAGAAATGATTGCCAGAAAAATAATGTTACTATTAACAATTCAGGGCAATTAGTTTCCCAGGGAGAGGCGATGTGATGCACCGGCTCCACACAACTATTCTTTGTCATTTTATGGATGCTCATCAGTCAACTGTCACATCTTCTCAAAGACCCCTCCAATCTAAATGTTTCTCTTTGGGCTTTTCCCAGAACTAGCAGCTGAATGGGCAAAAGAAAAGCCACTTAGTTCCTAGGCAAAGGAAAACTTCGCTCTAAGGATCTGGGTCATTTGAGAAGATCCTAGGAGTGTAACTCGCTGGGGGCAGGGGGGTGGATTTTTTTATTATTTTATTTATTTTTTGCAAGACTGACTT